CTATTTTTTTTTGTCCTTTTATAAAAGGTCCTGTCGGTTGTTTTGCGGCAGAGTGTTATGAATTGAAGCACTCTGGCCGTAGCTCGCACTAAGCGTTCCCATTTCGAAAATTTCGTCGGATCGGGAATGGCCTCTTTATATAGCGGAGCTCTATATCTTTCTGTGATGGTGAGAGATCTTTCTTCACCAGTAGGTTCGGATGACGTGGGTCGTTCTGTTGGCCATGCTGACGGTTCTTTGTATAGAAATGATGGGCCACTGTACCACTCGTGGTTAGAGTCGAAATTGGGTGGTACGTCCCTCGTAGCGGTGTCAGCTATGTTTAATTTACGGTGCCAGCGCCAGTCATCCACTTTAGTATGGTCATCTATGCTTTCCTCACTTGTGTGCAGCTCATTGGCCGCGTGGACGCGCTGATGCGGGGCTTTAGTGTGCGCCCCGTGTAGCACCCATCCCAGTTCTGTGAGCGAGGCTATTGGCTGGTGCGGTGGACCTCTGCGTACTTGTGTGGCTATTAAGAGTCTCCAGTTGTCTTGTCCTATCAGGATCCTAGGGTTGCCTGAATCATATGTCAATTGATCCTTTAAGCCTTTCAAATGCTTACAATTTTCTATGTCTGTTGCACGCACAGTCTGCGGCCCCAAGTTTAGGCTGGCGACCGTGCGTGCTCTGAATGGCACCCTTTTTCTATGGAGACTCTTCAGTGACACTTTGACTCTTTGGGAGTCCGGCGAATCGAGGGTAGTGTTCCCGATAGCTGTGATCTTGAATGGGTCCAACCGCCCTTTAGCTCCAATTTGATCGGCAATCTCTTGATCCATTAACGAGACTGTCGACCCATCATCCAGCAGAGCGTGTGTGTTTATTGCTCCCGCCGGTCCAATTACTCGAACTGGAATTATCTTCAAGTAAGCTTGATGCTTTGATACAGCGAATGAGTTTGCCACTGTCTCTTGAGGTTCTTTTAGTGGGCCCTCTGTCTTTTCCTTTCTATTATTATGAAGGAGTCGATTGTGTGTCGCGTTGCATCCTTTTATTCCACACTTCGTGGTTTTGCATCTGTGTGTCTGACTTCTATAACGCAGACACCGGAAACATAAATTCCTTTGCTTGGCGAGTTGCCATCTTTTATCAATATCTGCCTCTTTAAACTTGTTGCAGTCGGATCCGTAATGACCCTCTTTTTCGCACACACTGCATTTCGGAGACGGCTTAGTGGTAGCCGTGTGCGTCCTATGCACTGGACGATTATTTTGCGCTCCGCTTATGATCTCAGGAGGCGCAAATGCACTACAGTAGCGAGCTTGTTCGGTGATAAATTCACTGAAGGAACCGAGGTCTGGTCTTGAGTCATACTTTTCTGTATAAATTCTATACCACTGCGCGCGTATAGAGTTTGGCAGTTTGTCTGTGAGGTGTCGTAGCAGCTCTGCGTTAACGAGGTAATGGTCTCGCTTGAGTGCTCGAAGTGTGACGACGCTTCCCCTCACTTTGCTCGCGAATGTACAAATATCTCTGGGTGCCTCTGTACAGCGTGGCAATCCCCGTAATTTATCGGTTTCTGCTTGCGCGATCGAATCTGGACGCCCAAATTGTAGCTCCAGTTCTCGCATAATCTCATCTGGTTTAGCATGCCCGATGAGTTCCGAACTAACTGTTTCCAAGGCTCTTCCTTGTAGACTTCTTCGTAGTCTAGCAGTATTTTCTATGTCATTGAAGTAGCCTCGGGTTGTTTCATAAATGGCACGGAACGAAAGCCATTCAGTATGTGCTCCGCTAAAGCTCGGCAGTGTCATTATCGCTTTTGATGCTGCGAAAGTATTTGACGATGCACTCTCTGGTTTTGGTTTATCAGCGAGTGCGGCTATAGCGGACGTGAGCTCCGATATGAATGGTCGGAGCACCCTGTCTTCATTGCTGACAGGTGCCTGGTTAGGTCTATTTATTATGGGATTCTTGGTTGCTTCTTCCGGTTGGGGATCCTGGTAGGCGGGCTCTGATACAGCAGGTAGGAGCCCCCTGTCTTCATCAACCTTGGAGTCCTGGCAAGCCTTCTGAGGTACGGGACTCTTCGGTATATTTTCAGCATTGGGATCCTGGTAGGTGAGCTCTGATACAGCAGGTAGGAGCTCCCTTTCTTCATCAACCTTCGAATCCTTGTTTGTGAGCTTCATCGGCGGCTCACTGAGGTCGACAACCTCCGGGGGTGGCTTTGTGATGTTTTTATTAAGTGGGGCCTCCCCACCGGTGGTTGCGCCTTGCGTTGGCTTTTGTTTGGCTACAGAATTTTCGAGCCAAGATCGGACATACTCACTTTTGGAGTGACCATCCTCATCATAGTCGTCCGATTCATCATCTTCTTCAGCCATTTGTAATGAGATCTGTGCGAGTTCCAATTTTATTCTCAGCACTTCCTCACGAGCCTTCAAAACCTTTTTATTGGGCCGAGTGGTCTTCTTTGACCTTGTACTTTTATCGGTGTGGCCCCTTGGTGGCTCTTCGGCGCGGGAATATACCCGGGCTGTTGGCGGTGATGCACAGCGAATGTCATCGTTGCCTTCTATTTGTTTCCTCTGCTTCGGTGTACCAGCTTTAACAACGGCTGGCACAGGCAGGAGTACCCCCCCATCGCGGGGGCAAGCTGGCGCCTCAGCGCCTTCTGTTGTGGATGGTGAGCGTGGTGGCATCTGGTGGCGGACGGTGTCGGTATTGTCCGACGGTCCATCATCCAGACCGACAGTCCACGCCATGGTTCCCCTTCCTTGCGAACGAGTGATCGGCATCTTGATTCTGAAATTTCAGCAACTTTAAAACGGTAGTGATTATTTACCCGGTTCCGAAATACTAACGGATTGACGAATCCCGTTCGAATGACCAGCGTATGTGGTCCGGTGTATACGGATGATTCGGCTCAAAGGACCATAAAATGGTCCGGCTGGCAGTTCAATCGGAAGGATCCGGCTCGAAGGACCATAAAATGGTCCAGCCGGCAGTACAGGTGGAAGAATCCGGCTCGAAGGACCATAAAATGTGCCGGACGGGCGTAGTTCTCCGGAGTAAATGTTGTCGGAGATACCCCGCGAGTCGCTCACGTCCTACACCTGTAGGTTCCAGACTCCTCCAACTGCCGTCTTTCACTGCCGTCTCTTTGGTTGCTGCGGATAAACTGTGGACTGAGGTTCAAAATTAAAATGCACGATTTGTAAATTAAAATAGCAAGGGAGTGGCCAGCGGATCGACTAATTAATTTGTCGCGAGATTTTACACTGTTATTTATTTATCACTATTTTTCAACTATGATTGTTCACTATATATTTTAAAACACAGATTTAATTAAACACACAGTAATATTAAAATTTCTATTGGTTTTCTAAAATTTCTATTCGTATTTTTAAAATATCTGTTGGTAATATCAAATTTCTATTGGCAGTAACAAGTTCCTATTGGTATTCTCTACAATTTCTATTGGTAATTTTAAATATCTATTGAAAGTAACAAATTTCTATTGGTAGTATCCAAAATTTCTATTGGTAGCAGCTGGTTTTCTAACACTACTGACTAGCAGCTATTAATCAACTAAAATTAGTTGAATTTAAACACTTTTGTAACTGCGAATATCAGTTACCACTTTTTCCGTCTAGCTAACACTTTTCACGAAATGTAACGGCGAAATTTCCGTTACCACTTATTTCAGCTAGCCAACACTTTTTCACTATATGTAACTGCGAATATCAGTTACCACTATTTTTGGCTAGCTGACACTATTTTTCTATGTGCAACTGAGAATTTTCAGTTGCCACTTTTTCCGACTATGTGTAACTGCGATTTTTCAGTTACGACCTTTTTCGGCTAGCTAAACTTTTCTATTTCACTTTAACTTTTCACTGTGTTCTGCTACTAGTCACTTCAGCTACTACCGGATACTGCTGCTTGTTACTGGTAGTTCTTCCTACTACAATGTTACTATGATTTGCCCCCATAAGGTAGACTTCGGCTATACTCTATAGAGAGCCGCTTGCCAATTTCCGGTTTTGCCTTTTTATTATCAAACATTTTCATTATGTATTTTGCACAAATCGCAATTTTTCTATATAATGCTAATTTTTACATTAACACGCTATACACTATAAAATAGGCATTTTGGTCCTTTATCATTATGTGATAAGGGTTACTTGATATATTTACATTCAAAAAAGTTATTAATCAAAATGTGCCTAATTTACATAACAAAAGTGCACATTAAATCTTTAATTTTACTATATTTCTCAAATGCGTTTATTTACATAAATTATCTATTTACTTATTTCAATCTATATACCATATGCTAACTAAATACCATATTTACAACTCTTTTCAGACATAAAATTATTCTCATTAATTTTTTGCTTAAAACTATTACGCAGTTAATTTAAATTTCCAGAAAGTTCTATAGCGCGGCGCGCTGTGATTGGTCGATATTTTCTTAAACAAATTAAAGTTGTTTATATTAACTATTGTCAAATCGACCTTCTATTCAAACATATTGAGAGTTGTAAATACATGGTAAAACTATATTTAATACATTATTTAGTCAATTTTTCCGTATTTCCATTTTTTAAACAAATAAATATTCCTTAATCACTTTCTCGTTTAAAGTCATTTTTGCCGTTGTGAACAGTCATTTTGGCCGTCTCGAACACTTCCCCTTTTCACCATCGGACAACCAAACGGTCGGCGGGTCTTTCTCTTTGTTGTCGATATTCCACGCACCAAACGCTTTGTTTCGTCTTTGACAATGCGTACAATAAAGAAATGGAATAATTTGTCAGCGTCTATCTTTCCGATTACAATTTGCGTTTATTTCAGGCAAGAGTGAATAAATAGGTTTTTGTGACGCTAATACAGTGATACAGTGCGATTTTTCATCTAGGGCTTCACCATCACTTACCATCAGGTGTGATTGTAGTCAGGCACTGGCTTATAATAATTAAAAAATAACAAAATATTTTTGTGTTCAACAGGTCGTACCGCCTGATGGTGGTTGGGGCTGGGTAGTTGTTGCTGCCTCATTTATGTGCAACGTGATCGTCGATGGTATCATTTTCTGTGGTGGGATGATGCTAACGCCAATACAGAAAGAGTTCAACGTGAGTAAAAATATATATTTTATTTATTTAACAGAAGAATTATTTGTAATAATTTTATTTGCTAATGTAAAGCTAAGCTATATTCCTATAATTTGCCAATCTATGGGGGAGGCCTATGTTTAGCAGTGGACTTTTGATAGCCAAAAAATTGGCGCTGAATGAATTATTACATCTAATTATAAACTTGATTTTAGAAAACATAAACTGCGTTTTCTCATAAAATAAGCGCGCGAAACTAATGGATTAAACTATTGGTCTGATCTTGATCAAATTCATATGGAACCACACGAGAAGTACCAGCTTTCAAATAAAAAAAAATCATCCAAATTGGTACACCCAGTAAAAAGTTATGAAGTAACACACATAAAAAAAAACATACGGTCGAATTGTCCTCTGCCGTTTCCTTTTTGGAAGTCGTCAGAAAACTTCGGTCCTGGGAAGAACCAGCAGGAAACACAGTGGGACTTTTTTTAAATAACAACTTACAATCATCTATGGTACACAAATTAACAACAAACAAATTAGAAACAGCTTGGTAGCGATCACCTCATTTCCAGGGGTTATTATCATCCATAAATTATTTAATATTATAATAACCCTAGATGTCTATGAGCCATGGTATCCTCTTACCATCAGGAGGACTGTGTGCTTGTTTGTCACCCATATTCTATATATATAGAGAAAAAAAAATTAAATTGTACTTTATAATATAACTTAGAATAAAAGTGATGCTAAAGCTGCGTATATATTACGTAAATGAATAAAACTCCTAAGATGGAACATTACAGACAGCGACAGTTTCGCAAGGCCGTCACCACGTTCTTTCATTTTACACGGGCTTTAAAAAAAATCTCTAATTGAATACCAAGTAATGTTGCTTATTTTCATCTGCCGACTTCCAAAAAGGAGACGGTACTCAATTCGACTATATGTTATTTTTTAATCAATAACCGGTTACATTCACACCAGCGTCGAATACAATCTACGAAGTAGATAGGTACTATTATGTGCGCAACATAGTAATCAACTCGGAAAATGTCGTCAATATCGAAGGAAAAAAGTAAAATTAGTGGGAATTTCTCAATAAAAATATGCCTCTAACTATTTATATTATAACTACAACTTTAATTTATTGTAAATCAATTTGTTTTTTTATTTTTTTTATTGGTGGACTCGCATGATTTGCACTTTTGCTACGCCTGATATCAAAATTGCATGCGAATTGATTTCTGTTTAGTTTTACATTATTTATTATTTGACACCGAAAATGGAATTTTTAGTACGTTGCACGGAATACCTACAGTGAAATAATTTTAACACAAAAACAGTTTAATTTATTAGTGTAAACTAATAACTTTATCTTACATGCAGGTAGAATAAATAATCAATTAAACAAGATAACCTTGCAAATAATAGCAACGTAGTTTACTTACTGCATGAAACGGAAACGTAATTATGCCCGTCAAGCATGATATAATTTATATTGTGCCTATGTACTTAAAATAATAAAATTAAAAATAATAGCCATTGATGAAAAACTACCTAAAGCCTGTGCTAAAGCCCAGGGAATTAGCCTCTAACGAGAGACTGTCATATTTTTGTAGGTACCTACCTATCCATATTTTAGTACTTCCTATCAACTGCGTCATACACAATTATTGCACAATTTTTATGGTTAATTTTACTTATTTCATACAGCAAAAGAAAATTAAAGTTAAAAGAATCGGTGATGAAGATTTTTTTTTCAATTCACGTATTTTAAATTTTTTTATCTCAAGTATGATCTATAGATTTAAACGAGTCTCTCACCCGTTGTATTTTTAAATAACGACTACGAAACCACACCCTCGCGCGTCGCGACTAGTATTTGCGTCACGGCCGTGCCTCCATATTAATATTATATACCAGTTACCAATTTATTGAGGCCTGCGCTCAGACGTTTAAACATTTCTATTCGAGTCTATATATTATGCAGCGGTAAGGGAGAGGAATAGGTCAGTTATATTGGTCATCGCTTGCTCGCGTCATTTCTTATCGCGCGATGGCAGTACTATTTTTTTTTTAAATAATATGGACATCATAATTTTTATAATTCAACATTTATACACATAAACACACGTGTAGTGGCGGCATATGTTAATCCATCGCCTCATTTTGTGAATTATTATAGGAAAAAGTATCTCATGACCTCTGATAGATGAAATTATCGATCCGACCATCTCGTATATATGTATATCGCAGTTGTTAAAATACGACTAGTGACGGTTTTTTTATAGGATTTAGGTTATTTTACGTAATGGGTAGGCGGTACATATCGTACATGCGAAACGTCTGATATTGCGATTGTCTGTCCGCATGCGAAACGCGGCTATAATGACGAATCTTATTGAAGGTAGAGATCTATCCATCTACACCGACCACCGATGCGAGATAAAGAGGAAGTAAAAAAGCATAGAGTAACACAGGTCTATATTATATACGTGGTAGAGTCATGCTGCAGCTATATTAATAGTATAGTTGTAGCATGAATGGGTCGACTCGACCGGGGAAGGACCACGCTCTCATAGAATACCAGCGTAAAAAGCAGTCCATATACATGTACATCTATCCTCGATTAAGAATTAAAACTTAGATGCGTTCTCTTTTATTTATTTATAATTAGGCATTCCAGTAAAAAGGGTCACCCGATCTCCACATTCATACGAAACACAACAGCATAATGCTGCTATTTTACGCTGGTATTCTGTGGGTGCGTAGTCCTACACCGGTTGAGCTGACCCATTCGTGCAGTAAATCCAATTATGCATGCCCTAAGCGTATTAAGAAAATTACGTATAACATAATTATACGTGAATTTTTTAAAGTAGTTTAAATACACACAAGTTTTCACTAATAGCTTTATTATTATACTTCCAATTTTCGAATAATTTTATATCAGAAACAGAAACAGAAACAGAAACTTTTTTATTCAATATAGATTATAAATAATACTTATTGAAAGTCACTCTTTTGTTTGATTACCACTGGTTCGGAAAAAACCTCTGTCCTGGGAAGAACCAGCAAGAAACCCAGCGGGACTATTTTTTTTAAATAACAGCTTACAATCATGATGTTACACAAATTAACAACACAACAAATTAGAAATAGCTTGGTAGCGATCACCTCATTTCCAGGGGTTATTATCATCCATAAATTCCTTAATATTATAATAACCCTTTTTATACAAACTTAGTTTAATAAAGTTTTTGAACTTTGAACAGGTCAAACTTTGTATATTTTCTGGAATTTTGTTGTAAAAGCGTATACATCGCCCCAAGAATGAATTACTGACTCGATGGAGTCGAGTAACTGGTACTACTAGCTTGTGTCTGTTCCTAGTATTTACAGAATGAATATCACTTATTTTTGTAAAACTACTTTTATTTTTGTGTACGTACATTACATTTTCATAAATGTATTGAGAGGCCAAAGTTAATATATTAATTTCCTTAAATTTTTGTCGCAGCGACTCTTTAGGCTTTAAATCATAAATTGCTCTTATGGCCCTCTTTTGCAAAACAAATATAATTTCAGTGTCAGCTGCGTGTCCCCATAGCAAAATACCATACGACATTATGCTATGGAAGTAGCTGAAGTAAACTAGTCTAGCTGTTTCAACACTGGTTAGACTTCTAATCTTTTTTACAGCATATGCTGCAGAACTAAGTCTGCTTGCTAGTTTTGATATATGGGGGCTCCATTGAAGCTTCGCGTCTAGTGTGATTCCAAGAAAAATGGTGGTATCTACAAGACTCAGTTTCTCCCCATTTAAAATTACATTAGTATTTAATTGTTTGACATTTGGAGTCACGAATTTCATACATTTTGTTTTCGTGCCATTTAAATGCAAATTATTAACATCGAACCAATTTACTAATTTAGATATAGCATTATTTACTTCGTCATATTTTAGTAACTGTCGACTTAATTTGAAAATTAAAGAAGTGTCATCTGCAAATATATATATCATGGTTATCCCCTACTATGTAAGGTAAGTCATTAATGTATACAAGAAACAGAAAGGGGCCGAGAATTGAGCCTTGAGGCACGCCCATTTGTACCATCGATCCGGAAGAGCTCATATTGTTAATGACAACTTTTTGCGTTCTCTTACTTAAATATGAAATAATTAATTTAAGGGCATCACTTCTTACACCGTAGTGTTGAAGTTTCCTGATTAATGTTTCATGGTGAACACAATCGAAGGCCTTGGATAGGTCACAAAATATACCCAAAGCATCCTGTGAATTCTCCCATGCATTAAAGATATATTTAATCAGCTCAACACCGGCATCAGTTGTCGAGCGACCCCTCGTGAAACCAAATTGATTTTTATGAAGTAAATTATTTATATTAAAAAAATTTAACATTTGATCAAGAACAATTTTTTCAAAAATCTTACTAAGTGTTGGTAGTACAGAAATAGGTCTAAAATTGGCGGGGTCTAATGTACTACCAGATTTAAATAAAGGTATTACTTTACTATGCTTCATTAAATCAGGAAACACACCAGATTCGATACTAGTATTAAAAATAATAGCTAAATGAGGCGCGATTGTATCTATTATAGACGCAATAACTTTAACGGAAATCCCCCACAGATCCGCAGTTTTCTTAACATCAATAGTTTTAAAATATTTTACAATATCTTTTGATGACACTTTATGAAATGTAAAATTCTTTGTACACACATTTACATTTTGTTTAAGTAATGATTCGGCGACGGCAGGAGAAGAATTCAGTGACTTAGTGGTCAAGATCGGAATATCAGTAAAATATTTCTCAAAAACCATTGCTACGTCCTGATCTGATACAGTTAATTTGTTGTTAACACTTAACTGGTAATTTGAATTGCGAGAGTTGATCTTACCAGTTTCGCTATTAATTATAAACTTCAATTTAAGAAAAAGTTTGGAAAATCCAAAAGTGCACGACTCATAATTCTCATATGATCATAACAT